CCCCCCCCCCTCGTATTTAATTTTAAAGTTTCATTTTTGTACTTGATTATGTAGTCCTAAAGAGTTAAAGCCGAGTCCCTGTGGATTCGACCCGACTTACCACTTTTACAGTTTTGGTTGTAAAATTGTGCGTTAGTTTGGACTTTATTATTTGCCGGTCTCGACACCCGTCAAATTTTTGGCGCCGCTGTCGGGGACTCGGTATTTCTAACGGTTTATGCCTAGATCTTCACGTACAGGTTCCCCAATTCCTATTGACTCGGAGATAGAAAAGACAGCCCGAAAGCTAAGGAAACAAGCCAAACTTCGAAAGAAGCAAGGTGAGTCCACTTCATCACCAGGTCTGAACATTTGGAAAGATATTGAATTGTCCACAGAGTCGGATTCAGATCAAGAGGATCAGTTTGAAGACAAAGAGTTCATTTATAAAGAAGAAGAAAAGAAGCCAGAAGTGATGGCTAACCCGGAGCTGACGCTACGTCAATTAGCAACCCAAGATGTTGCTCAAACTCCAATCTGYATCAGGTATYCAACAGGTGATCAAAATTTTGTGCTTAAGACTGGCTTGATCCATCTCTTACCCACCTTTCACGGGTTAGAGAATGAGGACCCTCATAAGCATTTAAAACAATTTCACATAGTTTGTCTTAGCTTGAAACCGTCTGAAGTTTCGGAGGACCTTGTAAAGTTAAAGGCATTCCCTTTTTCTTTACAGGACCGTGCTACGGATTGGCTATACTCGTTACCGCCCGATTCGGTAGCGACGTGGAACCAAATGGCGAGGTTATTTTTAGACAAATTCTTTCCCGCCTCCCGAGCCGCTAACCTTCGTAGAGAGATMTGTAGTATTAAGCAACGAGATGTTGAGACTCTCCATGAATATTGGGAGAGATTCAAACATCTCTGTGTGAGTTGTCCACAACATGGAATCTCGGATCAATTGCTTTTGCAATATTTCTATGAGGGCCTCCTCCCGATGGATAGGAAAATGATTGATGCCGCAAGTGGTGGTGCCATGTTTAACAAGACCCCTACTGAGGTTAGAGCTCTAATCACCACTATGGCTGAAAATTCCCAACACTTTGGTGTGAAGAATGACATGAGGAGAGAACCACTCGAAAGCCAATGAGATAAACGTTGCTAGTATTGAGAGTCAGTTGTATAATCTTACTAATCTGGTTAAACAACATATAGTAGGAAAAGAACAGGTGAAAGCTTGCGGAATTTGTTTAGCAACAAGCCATCCAACTGATGCGTGCCCACAACTTCAAGAAGATGTGTTGGTGACRGCTGAAGATGTGAATGCAATAGGAGGATTTCAAGGTCAGCCACAACAACAAAGGTATTTCAATAACAATTTTGGCAACCAAAGACCTCCTCAATTTCAGAATTTTGTGCAAAGGCCGCAGCAACAACAACAGTTTCAGCAAAGAGCACCCTTCAATCCAAATCAAGCTACTTCTAGTAGCTCAGGTATGTCTCTCGAAGATATGGTCAAAACTTTAACTGCTAACACTATTCAATTTCAACAGAAAACGGAAGCAAGTATTCAAAACTTGGGAGCTCAAATGACACAACTTGCTACGTCCGTGAGTCGATTGGAGTCTCAAGGAAAATTGCCTTCTCAAACGGA